CTGTACAGTTGATTGGCTTTTACATACAACTTCTTCATTCTACTTTTCCAGTTTGAAAACGCTAAAATAAAATTCAAGGCATGTCCAAGAATAACATCATGAAAACAGTATTCCAACAGACATTATTCACTTGTCAATTAAATGTCGACAATGTCAATCATAATCAATACAACACCGCAAACAGATAAAAAAAAAGAAATAAATTGCAAATAAACGTTTGAGGAAGCGTTCATCGATTCAAACTCAACTGCAATTTAAATACGAAAAGTTATACAGTTAAAAAATGTCACATTAATTCAATCGCATCTCGAAACAGGCATTCCAACCGCAATAACTAAATTAGTATCATTCGGAAAAAGTCGACAAATCAGTTAAAACTACATTCCAGTCGATTGCAGTAGCTAACCGACAATTCCATTTATTACCGAGATACTTTTAAAGGCGATAAAAGCTAGTCATTTACTGCCTACAGTTTATACTTTTTCAAACGGCGTAAGCTTGAAAAGGCCAGTTGTTTGATGAATGATAATCAAATAACAATAAAAACAAATATAGACGGTGATAAATGATTTATTGATTCCAAAGTCTGCCTTGTAATAATCAAATCAGTAAACAAAGAAACAATTTCACAGCTCACGATGTCACACATTAATGTTGAACTTGTTGTTAAGTCGAACTTAAAAAAGTCCAACCCGGTTGAAAACCATTGAGGATATCAACCACAAAATGTAAGACATCAATGAATGGAACAAAAAGCCCAAATGTTCTGCCGTTCGCTAGTTCAAACGAGATTCAAGTCTATTCATTAAAGCCAAGAAATTAAACTTTGTGTAGGAGAAAATCCTGTTTCGAAAGAAAAATAAAAATTAATAATGAAATTCCTGATAAATAAAAGATATAAAGATGCGACGATCAATACTTACTTATTACAAGACATTGAGAAGTGATTTCCAAATCTGGTCGTCCTGACTACTGAAAGTCACGAGTTTTGTCTAGACATACGTAGGTGGGAAACTTCCATGGCGAAAAACGTTCAAAGCGCGTTCTCAATGACAACATGTTACTAAATGCAAGTAAATCGAATTCACTTTTTCACATGTTGGCAGGTCTTTGGAATCAAATGTCAATTATAACCGCCCTTCATTCTCTTTGAGAAGGCAGTTCATAAAAAAAACTACTTTCTCAAATCAGCCTTTTTGCCCTGATTATTTTAAATTAAACATTCAATAATCTACGTTTAATTGTTAGTCTTATTTATATTCACATACCTATTCACCAATTTGTCACCATTCCAACAAAGTCATCGTTCTTCATTGACGTCTAGGCGGAGATGCTGCTTCATCGGCGGCTCGAGCAAAAAGGAAAGAGTAACCGTCCGCAATTACAGTCCTCCTTCACACATACACTAATCAAAATTTTCCAAATTAGTATATCAATCATGGACGCTTGGTTGTTTTTCTATATATTTGTATATTAATACTCAATATTCGCACCATTTTTCTTTCCAATATTAGTACTCTATCGTCTCTTGATTTCTTTGTTTTATCGTTATTTTCGAATGTTTATCAAAAATCTATTATTGAACATATTTATGTTGGAAATCGCAACAGAATATGATCAATTTATTTCATAAAATGCAATTTAACGATAATGTATTTTTTTACGAAAGTTTTCACGTCCCTCCAATATTTAAATGCTTTTAAAACTTTAATAATCACTTTCTACTTTCAAATGCAATGTTTAATAGGTTTTAATGATGAAATATTTTGTTAGCAGTCAATATTTTGGAATGAGTATGACAGAACTTTACAAAAGTGTAGCATTAGTAAACTGAATCGCTATTTTTAAAATATTGACGGTTTCAGTAGGCAAAGTTGACATTTCGAAGGTTATTCCATTACAAATACGGCAAGTTAGAGTGTAATTATATAGCTGAAATATTATAGAATATAATGAATATACAATATTGTTATGATTCACTCGATTTCAACGTATTATTCTGTTTTAAAACGAAAGACATCAACGAATGATCGATTGTGACGTCATTCAGTCACTTTGAGATGACACGTGCTTTTTTCATCATCGAATTTCTTGGAAGTCGCAACACATTTGACAAATGTGAATATATTTTGCAGTATTTCGAGGTAGATAGTACCTGGCTTATATCGTCATGCAACTTAAAATGATGAAGATTTAATTAAAATCGAATGTTTTAATATCGCCGCCATATTTGAATTGTGATCAGTATAAACTATGGCTTAAATTAACTAAAGCCCTAACGAATATTGTTGATCATGTCCTTTACGGTATTTAATTAATGTGTTAGTTTGATAGAATATGATTGGAAATTATATTATAGACTTGTTTCTTAATAGAAAAACAGGATCGATTTGTTTTCGATGCATTATGTGATCACCCCAAATAATTTCTTCCCTCTTCATATTCCTAACATTAATTTCATCTATCATCTCAATTCAAGCCTCTACTAATTAAATTATCATATAAATGTCACTTGAAACAAATATAATCTTCTTTATTCGCCTTGTTAATATATCAAATTCTCTATTATACATTTTCTACCTCATGCCGTCGAATCTATATTTATTGTTCTCGAAGTGGTAGCGTCTAGTTCTTTTAACCCTCAAATCTTTTATTTAATTAGGTATCTTCATAAAACTAGCAGTTGTTTTCTTCCATCAATGATTGCGCTCAGTGACAAACTCTTCTAATCGATCGCTATTCTCCATATCATAGCTTTCTTTTCAAGCTTCCTAGGTCTAGGAGGAGTACAACGTGGATACTCGGTTTACATCACGGAATGTAATTTATCCAAATCATTTGAGAAGCTCTCTCGTAGCCGAACGATGTAGTTTTCTCAACACCTATACACATCAACTTTAGAAAGAAAGAGATTCTCTGCGTTTAGACTTCCATAACTCTCCAGAAACAGGATTTATTACATGCCTAAAAGGCACAAGGGCACCTATTTGACACTCATTTAGATGATAACTAAATAGGGTTATATCCCAACTGATTTTTTTCCACAACCACAATTGTTCCAGCTGAATGACTCTTCTTCCTAGCTTTATCCTCTCTTCGAATTCTATACCTTATAGACGAAACAAATGAACCAGCTTTTACCCTTAAAATTATAGGACACCAATGATACTGATCTTATGAATACTCCGATTTTAATAACCTAGAATTTGGCTCCTACAAAATTCCAACTGATGATTTATCGTCCAGCGACTACCGACTCCCGACAAAGTAGATAACCGAATAGTCAGTCATTCCTTATAATTCAACTGTTCGAGTTATCATTTTAGGCAGTTGATGTAATTCATGCACTTGGAATTAAAGATTGCTATTACCCTAACCTAACCCTAAGCGCTTTGTAGTCCACTTCCTTGCAGGAGGAGCCCCTATCAACTAAACCCTTTCCTAGTACTCACTCATTGAATTACTTCGAACCGCCGTATGCTTCTTTTTCACTTTCTTCTGATCTTTATTCCAAAGAAGACTGGGGCTAGTCTTCCACCTATTAACCCCTTCAGGGTCCTCCTTCTTAATAGCGCCATTCTCCTTTTATCAGAAGTTACAGTCACATTAGCACACGACGCCCTAATAGACATGAGAAGAAGCACCGTTTACTACTGCTGACAGAGTATTCGGTACAGTATTCTTTATAGCGACCTGGATTCCACAGACTACCTGTTCTTATTGTGTCCTTTAATCGACTTATCATTTTGCAACTTTCGAACCCTTACTATGAGTGATTCGGCAATCATCGTTAGAGTAGCTGTTAATAGAATTATATAGATATATGGTAATGATAAGATAAACCTTTCCGCCATGTTCCATTTAGTCGACGCCACACTGTACTGTGAATGGATGGATACGAGTCTTCTCAGTTAGCCACTGAGTTGGTTTACGTATTGGATCTCTGTCGAATTACCTTTTGTACTCATCCGTATATTCTTCCGGAAGTGTGTACAAAAATGTTCTTGTGTAAATCAGCCAGGAGAACTAGGTATCATGTCCTTGTTTGGTAAAGTACACGAATCATTCGGTATTGCGGGACCAGGCGCCCAGCGACCCAACAACGAATGGCAAAATGCAAACAGTGTTGCCATTGGTCTCCAGTTCGGTCTTAATGACCTTCTCTTCAGCAGATTTGGCCAAGGTACCGGGGCGCTCAAAGGGAACCGCAATATCGATTATATCAATTCTAGAGCCATTACGAACAACGATGTCCGGCCTAAGGCGGGAACCAGACTCGCAGATGGTACGATTGACCGAGGTCGTCGCTCCCTGAGGGAGACGAGCGCCTTTGACTAGTCTGTCCTGAATGGCGTTATGCCTATCGCCATATAGGCCGTAACCACTGCGGCCGTTATCTTCGGGCAGAGCTCTTCGGAAAAATGCCACTCTAAATTAATTGTTTTGCATAGGCAAGTGGACACCGACCGAGTTACCGAAATAACAGTCTGAGAGGTGGAAGAAGAGGAGGAGAAGGGATAGGCCACTGAACCATTAAGGTAATCTGCCAAGAGTTGGGGTGTAACGGGAATGCCCCTTGGTACCCGGGATATAGCCGCCTTTACAAGTGCATCGCTAGACAAGAACTTGATCGCGGAGTCGGAGGATTTAAGGAGTTGGAAAATGTGTCCAACCCTGGCCACATCAACGTCGACCCGAGCCGGAATAACACCAACACCACCCATTCGTGCCGGGGCCGCAAAAAACTATTTAGAAGAAGCCTTGCCGGTAGTGGACATAGCAGTCCGCACTGCGTTGAATACCACCTTATCCAGAGAGGAGAGTTGCTCCTTGCTGAAACGGTGGGTGTGCAGAGCGAACTGAATGTGTGGTAAGATGTAAAATTTGACGCACGTCACCTTTTGCCAAGGGGCAAGATTGGAGTTAATGTGGGTTAGGAACTCAATCCTATCAAGGACGTCAGCATAGGCAAAACCGCAAATAGATGAAGACCGTTGACCTTAGACATCCGCCTGGACGGCGATCTTAAACCCTTCTCTGTCCTTGGAGGCATTAACACTGCAAAGTGATCCGAAAGGACTTAAGGCAATCCGGTACACTACCAAATTTTTCCAGAAAAGGTGATAAAAGGCATGCAATAGGATGGCATGCGGATCAAACTTTTTAAGGTCCTTGTATGTGATGCGATCCAGACCGGGAGGGGTGTTGCTCGTCCTTTTAAGTTGGCCTACAAATTTCATTACGCGAGGGGGGCGGAGGAGAGGGTGATTGGGATCATTCTCCTCAATTCTATCCACTTCGCTACTTTCTCTATCAAAACATACCGGCGAAATGGGGGAGGGTTCCTGTGCAAGGTTAAGTTCTTCCTGGTCTGGCGGGGGCGCAGGAATAGGGAGAAATTCGCGATCAGGGCTCCATTGGAAATCCGCCGGAAGTGTCGCGACCGATTCCGAGAAGAAATTGAACATTTCTTCTGTAGAGGCCGTGCACCTAGCTTCCTCTGGATTGGTGATACGGCGGCGGAATGTACTGGCCAGGTTTCGTTTGAAGGATCTTTGGACGTTAGAGGCGGAGTACCAGGGATTATTGGCTGCGTTGGAGGGAGGACGGGCGAAATTACGGTTGGTGTAGCGGTTACCAACAATTTCGTGTACCTGTGCCTTAACGTGCGCAATAACCTCTATCCAGGAGTTGAAGGAGGCTAGTCGCGAGTGGGAGAGACCCTGCCCGCGGCGGGACCGTCCGCAATGCTAGATCCACCAGGGAGTGGGGACGACCCCTGTGAAGGAGAATCAGGGCGCGGGCAGACAGGGGCGTTCCTGGTACTAATAGGTGGTGATTTTGACTGTTCGTTGATAATTAGAATATCCATAGGCGACGAAGGGGTTTCGGAGTTAGCTGATGAACTGACTGGAAATTCGAATATTTAAATACAAGATATTTTATTCTTTCAGTGAAAAGCAAAAGGGAATAAAAATTCTTTGCTGTTTTTGTTTATAATCTCTTTCAAGAACGGTTTTGTTCAACTGTACTTGTTGTTTGAATAAGCTGATGATCTAATGATATATTTCATTAAAATCTCCTCCAGTATACTCATTTCGTCTTTTTTTACATCAAAATTCTTTCTGAATTGTCATTTTTACCTTCCATTTTCCGATTTTATTTATTTTACAACTTCTCAAAATCCATTCGAATGAATGATCCATTCGAAATTAGGTTCATCTACCGCATTAAAAAAACATAAAGCGTTTAAATAGCGATTGTGCAAGCATTTAATAAAACTTGAATGTAATTAAAGATATACTTTATCAAAAAAGAAACAACGTTGAATGGAAAGAAAATAAGTTGTTCAAATTTTAATGTGGACAAGAGGCGACATCTACAGTATTATACACTTGCGCGGTAAATTCAAATTTACACGAGAATTATTATACGTATGAATAGCAAGTATTTAATAGAGACTATTTAATATACTAATAATGGAATGATGCTCAACGAATAACTTCCGTTGATAAGATATTAATCACTTTTAGCTAAAGATGCGTTTTTATTAATTATAAACTCATTGCTGCTAGAAGAACGAAGATAGACGATTACGTCTCTCGATTGTTTGTTTGCGCTTGTTAGTATTCTTAAAATAAGATAGCTTTTTCCTAGCGCATAATTTTTATAAATAAAAAGAAATCAACTAGACTCAAATTGTTTCATGTATTTTAAATGCAAAGAGTTACAGTATTCCCGATCGTTTTAGAGGCGCCTATATATTTCTTTTCGCTATGTTTTATACATTGTTTCTCGAGTTATCAGCATAGGTAATGGACTTGACTTGGATACTGAGAGGAAAACGCAGAACCCACAGGCAAAAAATATTTACAATAGTTACAAAAATTTACAAAAAAACCATTGTTTTACATTACAAAAATGTAATAATTTTCTCTAGTGTAGAGGACTGACTGCTGTAACGCTAGCACGGCTCCACTCCGCAGATTTCAAAAAAGATTGAACATTGAAAAAGACGTATTCAATATATAACGCTTCCAACCCTAAAAATAGACAAAATTAGTAAAAGATTGATTAATCAATATCATATAAATTACCTAGAAACGACGTTAAAACGCCCACTAGATTCCAATACTTCCTTGAATTGCTACTATCAACTTCAAAGACGAGGTCTCGAACATCTAACGAAAGTCTAACGCTTGTACTTCAGCTCATTCAGAATAGCCAAATCAAACAGTCAGCGAAAACTAGAAAATAAAACACAAAATTAATTATTATCAAGTATTGATAATTACAACGCAACTTACAGAAATGAATATAGATAGCCTCCAATGTGATCAACAAGATTCCACGTCGTAGATCGGGAATACTGCACTCTTCGCATTTATTGCCTTCTGCTCCTATAAAAAAATCTCATTAATATTGTTTATAAACAATTTAGAGTAATACAATTTACAAAAGGTAATTGAGTAAGTATGAAAAACAACTGACCTTAAACCAATTCAGCATCACCCGCATAAACATTCAATACTTCATGACGATGAAAGTTCGCTTAGTTGTTGACTCGTCGGCGTCAGGAGCAGAAAGGAAAGAGCTGTCTCCGATATTTGAGGCATTCTTTTTAGCTCTCGAACTACTATGATACTCTTTCAGAAGAAAATCATGAACGGCTCATAAAAAAGTATATATCCGCCATTTTATATTTCCACTTCATTCACAACATCTTGTCTTAGACGCTTTGTTTTTAGAACATTTTCGAATTTATATCAAAATACATATTTTCACATACTTTCCAATAAATTATATTAAATATCATATTTTATCTATTCTAAAAAAAATATTATCTTTAAAAAGAGCAATTTTACGAAATCATCGACTTGCCGCTTAAATTTCAAGTTTTCTTTTTCATAATTCACGCATTTTTATAAAATTAATTGCTTTTTAACTTATTTTAAAACATAAAATATTTTCTAAACTAATCTATCTTTCCAATGCTTGCACTAAAAATATCAAAAATTACTTGATGCAATAACAAAAACATATTTTGTAAAAAATTTCCTCTTTTTTTCAATAAAATTCTCATTTTCAAGAGAATTGAATCCTAACTGTTCAAAACAGTAATACATGTCTATTTCTGAATACCCGAAGTATCCGATGAATGTATCCTGAATAACAAGTACATTGAATTTACGTATTTATTAGCGAGTAAAACGAAAGGTGTTCACTAATAGCCGATCGTGACGTCATTCGCCTCCTCCAAGTCCCACGTGGCTTTTTTCACGTTGAAATTTCTTCAAAGACACAATGCGTTCATCTATAATCAATACATTTTCCATTTCATTGTAAACGCAAGCATATTAACTCAATTAAAACACGATCCATTATATCAATTTTAATATCGAAAATTGAAGATTTGTGATTCGGCGGCCATATTTGATTTGTGACAGTTTTTAAAGCCGTATTACACGTGAATGTCTATCTAATGTGAATCATTTGTAGGCTTTGATGATGGTGATTATAAGAGTAAAAATGCAAGTGATACTAGTAATACAATCAGAGTTGGTTTTAAACATAAAACGCCATGTTGACTGAAACGTCTAACGTTGACTGAAGAAAATAACTACGAAAACTACGATTTCTCAGCTTCACTAAGCCCAATTTTTAGATAAGTCACTTTATTATAGTAGGACTGATGAAGTGAATGATTTAAAGATTCAAAGAAGCTTTGATTGGCGATGAAACGACCAACAGCATAACGACAAATCGTTGACGAGGTAAACAAAGTACGTTAAAACGGAAAATTATCGACGATTATCATGGATAAAAGGAGAATAGAAGAAATATTCACTTCAAGTATTCCTTTCATCTGCTCTATTCGCCTTCAAATCATATTAATATCTTTTGTTCAAGCTTGAAGGAAGGAATACTTTGGATTTGTGTGTTCATCTTGCAGACATTTACTTGAAAATGAATGATGAATGGCGCTTAAATTTAGTTTTATATCGTATAGAAAGAAAAATGAGTTAATATGCGTCGAGTTGAAGTTGACACGACTGGAAGAAGTTTGTTCATACACGTTTGTTTGGCATAAGATGATATTTTCCGTTGGGAAAATTCCCATTATCTGATTTCTCGAAAGAGAAAAGCGATTACTCTTAAATGCTATATTCTATGATGAGAGTTTTATATTATCTTTAGACAGACGTCCATCAATGTATCGTTAGACGTTTAACAAAACAATGCTCTCCACTGGTGTTAATTAACGCTTGATAATTATCAAGTCGCTCTTCTATTAGAGTCCAAAGAAAGAGTTTGACGTCGATGATACGCAATCGGTTTTTATCGTTTGATTGTATAATAGATTCGTATAAGCTTGAATAGAGAAGAAGTAAAACGTTCGAAATGGAACGTTTTCAACAATTTCCTTTTTGTGGACATTTTATGTAAATTCTATTAAAAGTAATAGAATGTTTTTATTTCATAGAAATTATTCTTTCAAAATGCGTCAATTAATTTGTCTATTTTTTACGTCATATTCTATTTCTTTTTATAGAATATATAGGCTAACAATATGATTGTTGCCTTAACAACTGTCTGTAAACAATACGCAACATTATTATTAAAACTTGTTTAATATCTCTTCCTCTCTCTCTTTTTACAGAAATATATAAGTGTTAGTGGAGAGACTGGGTAAGTATAAACTTTACTTAGTGAAGTATACTGTTTAGTTGGCAATGTACAGTTTGAACACTGTAGATTGTATGTCTTCTTATAATTGCATTCTTTATCCATCCTTCATGTTTGATATAGTAAAGAGTATATACAATAAATATATTTATTTGTATACATACATGCATATATCATTTTTTCTCTTTTCTCTATCTCTGCCCCTGTGTACTTTTATCTGTCTTATCAATGTTAATTATAAACTTTTAAAGAGTCGTCAAGGAAGTTGTCTGGAAGAGAAAATTGTAAATTGAAAGTCATATGAAGGTTGAAAGGTTAAAAAATATCGAGAGAGAGAGAGGTATACTCGCAATTTTGTTACTGTTATTTTTTTATCTATAGTAAAGATACAGCAAAGGGTTTTATTTGCCTTTTCAACCATTTGTTTACTGTAAAAATTTGAAATAGCTACAAGTTGACTATATGATATAATTTACTAATGAGATTATACAGATCATCTTGACGTCATGTTTCTAAATTCTGCTATTTCTTTTAAGATCTGTTTAACGAATTACTCAGACAAAATAATGGACTTAATCTCAAGTGAATTGTTTACCAGCACTCTCACTGCTGAAAGGCGGAATCACTCTGAGGGTATCGATAGAAAGATAGGGATAAATAGTATCGAGTGAATCTCTGATAAAACTCATAGTAGTCGTCGTAGTAGTTTTACTCGACGTGAAAGAAGAGAACGAAGAAATGTCTATGTAACGGAATATATTCTTTAGTTTAAACAACAAGAAAGGCAAGAAGAAAAAGAGTTTTATCGTTATTCCTTGTATAGGAGAAAAGGAGAATTGAAAAATTTGTCTATCGTAAAACACACCAACAAAATTTGTATGTTTGAATCTAAAAAGATGCACTGCACTGGACACACCCACTTGTTAATAGGAGAGAAAACTGAAGATGATTAAGAAGATATCAAAATCACTTGAATCGAATGATAGGCGAAGACTGAAAGATTGTTTTCAATTACGTTATTTAACAAATTGTATTTATTTAACCGAAAAAGCATACTGGTGTGAAAAATGTAAAATAAATAAAAGAGAGAAGAAAGAAAGAGAAGAAGAAGAAGAAAAAAGAGCAAATCCTTGAAAATCAATAAATTCTTATTTGATAATTATCGTCATTTGGTTTGGTTTTAAATATTATTGCTATTTTCTTCTTCTTCTTCTTCTTCTTCCTTTTCTTTTCTTCCCTTTTCGTCTCGTTTATTAAATATAATTTTTTATAAATTTTTGTCAAATAGCATTGGGATCCTTGGCAAGTTTCGTCACTTTCCGGGCATCATTCGTGCGCACTTCCTGATTGAGAGGGCAACATTTATAACCTCCTTCGCAACAATCACTAACCGTAATCCTTTCCCAACAGCAAATTTCACCTTGTATCAAGCAAGTCTTGTCTTGTATATGATGGATTATAACC